AAATAAAAACAGGTACTTTTTTTGGCGAGGGGACTGGTAGGGGTATGGTCCCCCTTGTACCTCCCTGCAATTTCTTTTGAAATTTAAACCAGGCCTTTGTACAGAGAGCCATTAAATATATGGTACGATTTACAAACAGTCTCAGTGATTACTTGGTGTGTTTTGATAACAATTGTAGCCTGTTTCTCTTTGATGTGATTTTCATTTGTTTGTCTTTAATGACGCACAAATGTCAAGTTTGTTTGCTGATATTGAATTAACAATAGTTATTTTCAAGAGTTGACACTTAGTTACTCAATCCATGCTTTGCCATCGACAAGAATGTTCTGAGGCGCTCAGTCCTTTCAACAAGTTTGTACTCTTAAAAAGTACTTGTTCGCCAGTGAATGGATTATTCGACAGGTATTACTCATGAAGCTTATTTACCTCAAAAGCGAAATGATTGTTTTTGCGCTGTATTGAAATCTTAAAACTTCCTCATCATTTGCCTTCATCAAAGTGTTTTATACATGCATAACTTATCTTTTCAACCTGTGTTATTAAACTTCAGGAACTGATCGCTTTTTTAAACCATGAGTCAAACTAATACATCTGGGGTCTACGACATGATCACGTCGATTCCTCCGATTGAATCTATTTTCTACGGAATTGCTCTGTCCTTGCTTTCAGTCCTCACGCTTACGGGAAACAGCCTCGTCTGTCTAGCAGTTTGGCGATTTAGGAATTTACGAAGCCTGACAAACTATTTGGTGTGTAGTCTGGCCTGCGCCGACCTGTTGGTTCCACTTCTACGAGTGATCTACATTATGATCTCAGTGTTTTCAGGTGAATGGATTTTCGGCGAAATATGGTGCAGCATTTCTTCAATGTGTGGTGTACTTTTATGCGGTGCGTCCATTCTTCACCTCTGCGCGATTAGCATCGAGCGACTGATTGCCATAAAATGGCCTTTGTCGTACGATATTAAAGTTACTCCAAAAAGAATCATCATGTTACTAATCTACATATGGCTACAGTCGTTTTTACTTTCTGTGTTCCCAGCCTTGGGACTTGTAGACCATCGTTTCAACAAAGTCATGTCTGAATGCGAAATACACTGGCTGAAACATCCAACTTTGGTAATTCTGCTTATCGTGTTCTACTTCCTTCTTCCTGTGACAACAATGTTGGTTGCTTATGCGTTCATCTTTAAGGAAGTTCGACGAAATTCTCGACGCATTTCTGCAATCGAGTGCAGTGGGACTCAGTGTTCAAAGAATAAGCTTAAAAGGGAAATGAAAGCTGCGAAAACTCTAGCTGTTGTTGTCGGTGTGTTTTTTATTACGTGGACGCCTTATTTCGTAGTCACCACTATACGCGCTTTTCAAGGAGACAGG